AAAGTGATACCAAAGTTACGTTTTTGATGCTTTAAAGTTCTGGTCTTGATGCATATGTCAATAAAATGAATAAAAAACAAAAAAAATGTAACTTCGGATAGGTGCTGTTCAATTTTATGATAACGATTGTAAGATAAAGAACACATGACAAATAATAAAGATAAAAAAAATCTGATGACACTATGCATTATTTTTTTAATTAATTAATATCGCTCTGGACTTACAACGGTTTCCGTTTCCTAGTTTTTATTAAATATCCTGGGACATGCAGAAACCCCATACATAAAATTTCACGTGAACCTTTTTTGATCACCTGTCACATTATTAACCAATCAAATTCGAAAATCATGGGTGTCTAGAATAAAAATCCTAGACCCAGGACAAAAACAATTCAGATTCAGATTGCCATTAATCACGTGAAATGTAACATTTATTTATCAAATTGAGATTTTGAAAAATTTGATGTCGTCAAAAACAATTTGGGTTCGTAATGTATTTCAACAATTCCTTGATTCAGCTGGATTTGACTTTATACTTTTGAAAAATGTAAAGTGAATCCATTTGAAAAAAAAAAATTATTATTATTATTATTATTAGTTTTTTTGTTTTAGTGAATTTAAAATTAATTTTTAGTTATCAATTATAAATGCCACCGATGGAAAAGTTAATGCTGAAATTTTAGTTGAACCCCAACATTTGGTGAGTTTGAATTCTATACAAAATTATTTAATAAAATAGTAATAATAATAATAATAATAATAATGACAATTCATACATATATAAATTTCACAAATTTTTAGAATCGTCTCAAAATATTGCACGGAGGAATGGCTGCAACCTTAGTTGATATTGGTGGTTCTTTAGCTATAGCTGCTAAAGGAATGAATTCAACAGGACTTTCTACTGATATTAATATCACTTATTTGGATGCAAGTAGAGCTGATGATATTATACAAATGGTAAGAATTATACTTATAATCATTTAATCTATAATATTTTTTCATATTGTTTCATTCATTCATCTCTTCATTCATTCCTCATCCCATCCATCTCATCCCATCCCATCCCTTTTTCAATTCATTAATTTAACTAAGAATTCAGAATGTGTAAAATTCGGGAGAACACTTGCATTCACTGTAACAGAGTTGATTAATAAAAATAATGGTAAATTGATTGCTCATGGTAGACATACTAAATTTATTGCAATCGCTCATAAAGATCCACTTAACCAATTTAAATTTCCAGAGAAAAAGGATTAAAATATGAAGGATAATCATATGATCTATCTGATATTTTAGAATTTTTAATACTTTAATTTGCTTTAATGATTTGAATAATTTTATTTATAATATTTAATAATATTAATTAATAAATATTAGATTGATAAAATTATTTTTAAAGTAAAAAAAAAATTATGTAAAAAAAAAAGCAAATTAATTAATTAATTAATTAATTAAGAGAAGATTAAATAATAAAATAGAAAAATAAATGCAAATCAATTAAATGATGATAATTTCGTTAATTCTTTTAAGTTTACCAATTTCACGCCATAAAAACTAAAACCGAAATTACTGCGTATTATAATTATCATAATGATCATGGGTGTTAATAATGTTAATAGTGTCATCATCTTCGTAAGTTCCATCAATTAATTCAATTATTAGAATCAAGGAAAGAGAGATTTATCGTCATCGCCTGTTTCTCCTCCTTCTTCATAAGGCAAAGAAGTTATTGAATTTGTTTCATATTCTTCATAATCATTATTGTTATCATTATTATTATAATTATTATTATTATCATTATTAATATCATCATCATCATCATCATCATCATCATCATCATCATTATCATTATTATCATCATCATTATTATCATCGTCATTATTATTATCATCATCTTCATCTTCATCTTCATCCTCTTCATCATCATCATCATTACAATAGATATCATCATATGAAGTTTTTTCTTCATTATCTTCGCCTTTCTCATAATCGTAATTTTTATCAAATGAATTTTCTATATAATTATTATTTTTGTCATTTTCCGATAGAATATCATCATTATAATTTCTACTTGTTTGTGAATTCATTTCTTCATCTAATTCTTCCTCTTTTATATTATCCTTCTTTTTATTATCATTTTCACCTCCTAATTTTCCCCTTATTATTTCAATCTCATTTTTATCATTAATTTTTTTTAATGAAAATCCTCCATTTTTAATCAAACGTTCTAATTTATTGATATTCGTTACATCTTTTAATCCTCTTGTTTTCAATACTATATAAACTATATCTGGCATCTTTTTAATAAATTCTTCTATCGTCATTTCTGCTACCATTTCTAAAGCTGATTCTTTGGTACCTTTAAATCCTCCAAATGATTTTTTAAGTATTGGAATACGTAATATTGCACAATATCTCTTATTTTTGACCCAAGTTTTAACTGTATATCTAGTATTTACTTGTCTACATAAAGCAGAAACAATATTAAGTAAATATTGTTCTTTTGAAAATTCATCTTCTCCTGGTGATATTAAATTTTTAACTTTATTTGATTTATTTGAATTGATTGATTGAGGGTTTTCATTAATTGTATATAAAGATTGACTCTTTAATGAAGAAATCTCTGAATTTATTCCTTCTTCATGATTTATTAATTGCCTTGATGACATTTGTATATTCTGATGATATTGTGATTGTAATTGTTGATATTGTTGATGATATTGTAATTGTTGATATTGTTGATGATATTGTGATTGTTGATATTGTTGATGATGATATTGCTGATGATGATATTGTTGTTGTCGCTGTTGTTGTTGTTTTTGCTGTTGTTGTTGTTGTTGTAATTCTTGAGCTTCTCGTAAGAGTTCCTCAGATGAAGGTAATAAATTATTATATCGTGGATCTTGTGTATGTGAATATTGACGATATTGTGTTCTAAATTTATTATACAATTTTGAAAAAATAAATAATAATAATAATAATAATAATAATAATAATAATAGACAAAGTTAAATTTTATTTAACTTAATTTGATTTGATTTGAATAATGACCTTGAAATTGATTTAGTATTTAAATTATTTAAATTATTTAAATTGTTTAAATTTCTATCAATAACATCATCTGCATTATATTTAGATTCACCAGCTTCAACTCTTCTTAATTGTGACCGATTTCTTAGAGTATCGTTACCAACAACACGTGATGATGCAAATGAATTGCTATTAAAGCTGCGTGAGATTGATTGTGAAGTTACATTATTTGAAACCATATTAGAATAATATCCAAATAAATTATCAAAGTTAGTAAAATAATTATAATTAAAATCATTTCTTGTTGTAGAGGAATATCTCGATAAAGGAGGATGACGCGAAAATGATGAATAATTCTCGTAATATGATTGATGTTGTTGATATTGAGGAGAAAAATAGGTTGTTGATGATATTGGTGATGTTGGTGTTTCATAAGATAAATTAATGTTATGCAAAGAACAAAATTTCCTTATTTCTTCGGGTAATAAATGAGAATTCATTTTTTTTTATTGATAATTTTAATAATTTTAATAATTTTAATAAAGTTTACAGAAAAAAAAAAAAAAAAGAGAGAGAATTTTGAGATGACTAATTCACAAATCAACAAAATGTACAAAAAATATTGTTATTATTACAAGGGATTCACCATTAGTTAAATGTGGGTTATTTTTTACTGGTCATGTGATATCTTATTATTTTAACTGAAATTGGTATCTTTTTCAGAATGTTCTTTTTTATCATCAATGTTTCTATTTTCTTCAAACGAAAATTTTTTTTTTCATGTGTCATTTTTGTGAGTATCCAATTGTTCTAATTTTAGATAACGAAAACTTAATATTGAAATAAACACGATTTATTCATGATATGATTAGTAAACGTCGTTAGAGAATAATTAATGTTATCATGATAAAAAATTTCTGATTTGATGTCATTAATTTTTTTTTTTTTGTTTCCTTAGATCAAATGTTTCGAATAATAATATCAGTAAGGAAAACTCGAATAAAATGTTTAAGTTTGAATTTACGAATTTATATTAGAAATTAATAAAATTAGAAAGAAAATTTGTCAGCGATATTTGTCTCTGATTAAGCTCTTAGTTATAATCAGTGAAGAAAAAATTTTTAATTAATTTTTTTAATTATTTTAATAATTTTAATTTATTTTAAGCAAAACTTATACTTTAATTATTTAATTATTTTTAGAAATAAACTTTTGACTTTTATAATTAAGTGGAAAAGGATCAAATTGATTGTGTTTCAGTTCAACTTATAAAAATTTACATTTAATATTTGCAATTATCTAAATCTTGATAAAATGAATCAAATCAGATCACAGGATACTGAATAGAAGAATACATCAGTTTATATAGTTCATATAGTTCATATTACTAACCTAATTGAAATCTTGAGAACTCTATCAAATTCTATCAAATTATATAAAAATAATAATAATTAATTAATTAATTAATTAATTAAAATAATTCATCTTCATCAAAATGATCAATTTTTAGAGAGATAACCCGTTTTCCGTGTATAAACTTATTTATTTAATACATAATTCATTTTATTAATTAATTTCGTTTACTATTCGTTCTTTTCGCGATATAATCAAGATAAATCAAGATAAATCAATCATTATTTTTAGAACTTAAGCACGCATGCACTCATTATTGCAACAGGGGAAATGTTTTTCTATGCAAAAAAAAACCTTTTTTTACCTTTTTACATATTTTAATAGATAAAAATAAATTTTTAAATAATTGAATATTTCACGGAATATTAAACTTTTCATACTATTCCTTTAAACAATATCATTCTATTTTAATAAATATTTACCAAAGGTTTGGTAAAATGCTTTTTTTTAGTTAAGTACCGAGCTTAAAATATCCAGAACTATGAAGAATTTGGAAATAATCAAAAGAAATGTCCAAAAATTCTAAAAATTCTGAAAATCGATAAAACTTAACTGAAACAAAATATTAATTTTTTATTTATTTATTAACTTGTTAAGATTTTTTAACTAACCTTTGAAGGTTATTATATTTATTTATAACCGAATAAAATAATTTCCATTAAATTCATTAATTTTTTTTTTTTTGAAACAAAATTACTAAGGTTCAATATTAGACTTAACCAATCCTAAAAATTTTCTCTATTAAGTTTGGTTAAAATTTTTTCAAGTTAGAAAATTTTCTCTATTAGTAAAAAATTTTTTGTCACTATGAATTTTAATTATGATTCTAATGCGTTTAATATAAATGAATTTTATTATGTCCAATGATAGTAATAGTTGATAAAATTGATAATAAATTATCTTCTTAATGGCAAGATTTTCATAATTTCATAATTTTATAATTTCCGGATTAAAATAAGTAGATCTTCGTTCTCTCCCTTTGTTTGAAATTTTGAAATCCAACCTTTTGCGATAGGTTAATGTCAAGAAGTTATAATACATTATTATAACGTAATACAATAGAGTAGAAATTTTTTATCTTAAAAATAATTTTCAAAAAAAAAAAAGAGAACTAATTATAATTATATAATTCTTACTTTTTTTTATATATATATTTTCATATTGAAACAAAGGGAATAAATTACATTAGGAAATTAGTGAAAATGTCGATCCGTCGTAACTACATTTGGTTTCAAATAATTACTACGCGTTTCGTATAATTCAAATTCTTTTAATTCTTATTTACCTTATTTGTTAATGATAATTAATAATAAATGTTGTTATAATTTATTCGTTTATATATAAAGACCAAAAAATCATTTCCCACTCTTCAGCTTTTAAAGCATCTCCTCTAACTTACTATCAAAATATCAAATAATTTTCTAGGCAGTGCCAGAAAATAAAAAAAATAATAAAAAATTTCATTAATTCAAGTATAGTTTTCAGTGGTTTACGCAAGTCGTAACTTTTTGATCTTTTTTTTACACGATGCATTCAATCTTTTTCACGTTAGTCATCTTAGCTCTTATAGCTTTAACCACAGCTTTTCCCAATGGATCTGGTACTTGTAATTCGAACCAAACAGTTATCGAAGGGGTTCAAGGTCAACCTATGGGAACCCTAAAGGAATTAGGTTATGAATTCGCTATTACTATGGAAAAGAATCAATACAAACCAGGTGGTCCACCGGTTAAGTTTTGCGTTCACGGTAAATTTCCTTACAAAGGTGTCTTATTGTATGCTCTTGATAAGGACAAAAATCATGTCGGTTCATGGAAGGTTCAACCTGGTCACAAAATTTTGAATTTAAATTGTCTCGGAGATAAAGAGGGAACACTAACTCATTCTGGTAAATATTAAATTTTTTATAAATTCATTAATACATTATTATTTAAATTTTATTTTATTAATTTTTTTTTTATTAATCTTTAATTTCCTTAATAGATCCCTCTCCAAAAGGACCTAATTTATGTTACTTATATTCGCCACCATTAAAGGATGTTGGTGCAATTAATTTCGTTGGTACAGTTTGTCAAAGCAGAGACGCTGGGTTCCAAATTGTTAGATTCCCAACCTTCTTCACCGCTGAAGGTGGTAATAATAATAATGTCACTACTACAACAATGACAAAAACAACTTGTACATATGAAGAAACGAAACCAACATACGAAAAACCAACATACGAAAAACCACCATACGAAAAAACGACATACGAAAAACCACCATACGAAAAAACGACATACGAAAAACCGCCCTACGAGAAAACGACATACGAAAAACCGCCCTACGAGAAACCGACAAACGAAAATACAAAAATGACAACGACATGCGATTACACGAAACCGACACACGAAAATACCAAACCGTCATATGAGAAGCCGACATATGAGAAGCCGACATACGAAAATACGAAACCGACATATGAGAAGCCGACATACGAAAATACGAAACCGACATATGAGAAGCCGACATATGAGAAGCCGACATACGAAAATACGAAGCCGACATATGAGAAGCCAACATATGAGGTACCAACATATGAACCGACAAAATCAAACAGTCCTGTTGGTTTCAATCCACCTGAAGTTAATGCAGCTAATGGAATAACTTATACAGGATGTATATTATTGTTACAATTAATGATTGTTAGTTCTTTAATAATTTATTACCATTAAATAGAACATTTGTTTATTGTACAAATATATATTTTTTTTTACCTGTGATATTGGGATGGTTTATCTTTTTTTTTTTTATATAATTTTTTATTACATCTGTAGAATTATATTTGAATTAATGAAATGAAAATTTATTATATATAGATTGTGAGTGAAAAAAAAAATAACAAAATAATAATTAATGTATGTTATATTATTGCTAGCAATAAATAAACGTTAATAAATTAATAAAACAAAGTAATTTTTCTCTCATAATAAATCAAATCTATGAAACCACATAATATTTACGAGTTTGCGCGTTGTTCTTTTAATAACGTTATGTAATATTTTTTGGGTTAACGTAAACAATAATTACCTATTATATTAAAAAGTCACATTACATTAATTTTAACCAAACCTTAAAAAGTAAATATGATATTTATAGTGTGAAGCTATTTTTTCTACACCTTTTTTTAGACAAACTTCAAATCTCCTTTTAATGGATTATTATTAGATTTTTTTTAAGGAAAATCAAAACCCGTGGATGACCAATAATCGTGCCCAAAATATCAATAAAGATTTCGACCGTCTTATAATATTTTAACCAAGAAAATAAAACGTGACACAATCAGAGTGAGTTTATGCTCACGCGAAGCTTTAAACAAAAAATGCAATAACAATTAAACAATTAGGATTAACATAAAAGTAATAACAAATTTTTATTACTTTTTATGTTTGAAATTTTAGAGGAAATAGGTAAACAAGTTTGACTTAAACAAAAAAACAAAGGGTAATTAAATAATATTAAATATAAATAGAAATGGTTTTAATGAATTGAAGATTATTTTCATCTTTAATATATTACCTTACAAATTCTGACTCAATTAAAGTGCGCGAAAATATTTTAATGGTGATGATGATAAAGAATTATTTCAAAGTAAATAATTAAAATAATTAATTTTTATAATTTCATTTCTAAAAACTTTTTGAGTTAAATATAGAAAATGAAATTAGTGATTAAAAACCTCGGACAAGAATTGGAACCATCTACTTCAACTTTTTAAAAATTCTTATGTAATCTTTTATAATTATGTGTTAGTAATATTTGTTTATTTATTATTTATTTATTTATTTATTTATTTGTATGTATTTAAAATTTGAATTAAATTTAAAAGTCAAGAAAAGAATAATACAGTAGATAGATAATAATCAATAAGGTTTTGACCTCAAATTCTTTTTAGGGTGTTAGAGGAATTTAGAACATGTTTGGTAAAATTAACATCAGAAAATGGAAAAAAAAAACCGTTTAAAAAATGAAATTAGAAAAAATAACAAAAATATTTAATTTTGTGGATTTTTGGGATTTTTGAAGAAGTACAGTTTAACCTGTAAACGGGCGCAATAACATTGAAAATTATTTTTAAAAATTAAAATTAATTTATCCAATTTCATCACTATAAATCCATTACACAAGATCTTTTTTAAAAGACCATAATTCTAAGGAGGGCGTATTTATTCTATTGGTATATTGATTACCAATATATAAAAACGTCCCCCATTTTTTTTTCCTTTTTTGTGCAAGAAAATATTGGCGAAAAGAATATAATGAGAAATTGTTTTGATAATCTTATACAGGTTCGTATCACGAAGTTCACATCCGTGTTGCCAACATGAATATTTGATAATAATTAAATTATGCCATATTGATAAAAAAAATAATTTTTAATTTGGACCTTTCATAGGAAAAATATTTTATTTCTGTGATGAATCGAGAAATTTTTCATTTCATGGATTTGAGGTGTGGCTCAATAGAAGTTTCTCCATGTGATCAGAAGAAAAAACATCTTTAACCTTTAATTCGGTCAATGTGTTACTGATCTAAAAATATGTCATCTTTTGAAGAAATTGTCATATATAGGTATACGAGTATATGGCAGGGTATACGGGTCAAAGAAAATTAGAAAATGAAAAAAAAAATGAAGAAATTGAAGAAAATGTCGAAAATGACGTTAATAAACAAATAGACTGGTTTACATTATATTCATTGACAAAATGGAAACGTAAAAACACAAATAAAAGTAGATTGTAGATCTTTAATGGATTATGAATTTGGTATTTATATAATTATTCAAAATAAGATAGATTTGTTTGTGAGACCTTTCCCCTCCAAACACCAATCGCCGATAATGCATAATGGTTATATAAACGTCTTTTATTCGAAATAAATTCTTTTTTTTTTTCATCCGGAATAATTTCTTTATAATATTTATAATAATAATTTATATTTATTAATATCAAATGTTATAATAAAATAATCATTAAAGAATATTTTAATATTTACAATCATCATGGTTCTTAAATCCAAGAAAAGAGCGTCACCCAACAAATATTCACCTATTTACAAATGTACAATCAAGGAACTTCCTACAGAAATTCTCTTAATGACATTTTCATATCTTGATATTTCAACTCTCCTTTGTTTGTCAAATGTTTGTAAACGATTTCAAATCATAGGTGAAACTTGCTTAGCTGTGAAATTTAAAGAACCAAATGTTTCATTAAATTTATTATTTGAACAAGAGCATAAATGGAATTATCCTGTCGATTTTTATTTTGATCATTTAAATTTAAATAATGGACGATTTATTTTTAAACCGAAAGCTATTGAAAAAATAAAATTTATACACTCATCAATGGTTAAGAAACCTACATTATATAAAGTACAAATTCAAAGAAATAAAATAATTGAACCATTAATGGGTCCTGATAACAATAATAACAATAATAACAACGACAACAACGACAACAACGACAACAACAACGATAATAATAATAATAATAATAATAATAATAATAGTAATAATAACAATAATAATAGTAATAATAATAATAATAATAATAATAATAATCAAAAACATAAAAAACTTCCAGAAAATTTTTTACAAAAATCATATGCTTTATCAACCAAAGAAATTAATACTACAATTGAAAAAGTAGCTTCCGTTTATCGAATAGGTCATGGTTCAAATCATTTAAAAATTCCTTTTAAATTTACTTATTCTGTAACTGATATTCCACCACCAACTGAAAGTATAAATCGTGGTGGTGAACGTTGGATAACTCCAAAAGAATTTGAATGTTTTCCTAGTTTTTTCTATCCGCATGAACCTATTGTTCATAAAATAATTATGAATATAATTCAATTTAAAAAGAAAGAAAGGAGAATAAAGAAAGGTGGTAAAAACAAGAAAAAGAAAAAATTATTTGACAACAATGACAACAATAATAATGAAAGTAATAATAATAATGAAGATAATGATATTTTCTATAGTAGGCAAAGGAATAAAGGAAAAAATGCAATTAGAAATTCTTTGGAAATTGAATTAGATATAGATGGTCAAGAAATAATTCATATTAGAAGAAGAAATAGTATTAATAGTATTACACATCTTTCTTTATTAGAAGAAGTACAAGATCAACATGAAAATACACTTATGATTAGAAAAATTATGGATCCAATAAAGTCATCAAGTAAATGGCTTTTAGGACCTAGAAGATAATTAATTTTCCCTTTCTTTTTTTTTTACATCAATAAATTACATAAAAAAATTTTATATTTTCACACTTTTTTTGTTGGTCCTGTGTTTTTTTTTTCTATTATTAAAAATTATGAAAAATTTCTAAAAATAAATTGATTATATATGAATCATAAAACTAATAATAAATTCAAACATGCAATTTATTCTATTATTCTCACTTTGTAGCAATCAAACATCAAGTTATACCAATCCATAAGAATAAATCAAATCCTTTGAAATTATTAAAATGAATCCAAATTTCTCTTCCTCTTTCTCTTTCTCTTTCAAAAAAAAAAAAAAAAATTAAAATTAAAATAAAAAAGATTTGATTATCATTAAAAAATTTAAACTTAAATATAAATGTAAATATAAATACAAATAAATAAATTCAATACAGAGAATTAATCAAATGTCCATGCATCATCGGATACGCTCCTTAAAATATTTACAACTTCAATGATTGAAGAATAATATTGTTCAAATCCTGGTAAAAGAGCAAACGCAAAGAGCCAAGTTGTACATGACAAGGCCATTATATGCGCGATTGCACGTGCAATGTCAAAATCTAGTACATAAAGTGGTGTATGGATTATTCGTAAGACGGTATATACGACTGAAAAGCTAAACATATTTTTTAAAAAAATATTCCAATAGATCATTATTAATATGATATGAGAATTCAAATTTAATAAAGGTCAAAGATCAAAAAAATTTTTTCTCTAACCTAGTTCTATATTTCAAAGGTACTTTGTTGGCTGATGCAATAATCACTGCAGCGAAAAATGCTAATAAAAAAAATTCCAAAATCCAAATTTCATTATTATTATTATTATTATTATTATTATTATTATTATTATTATTATTATTATTATTATTATTATTAATTATTATTATTATTATTATTAATTATTATTAATTATTAATGAAAAAGTTTACCTGGAGCATTTTCCAAAGCAACCTCGTGTGCAGCTACCATTCTTGTTAATGTTCCTCTAAGTGAAGACTTATAAAGTCGTGGTTCCTAAATGAACATAATAATTAATCATAATTAATAATTATTTACATATTATATATACACAATAAATTATCAAATTTCTATTGAGAAAATTTTAAAAAGAAATTGTAAGAGAATTATAAGAGAATTGAAATAAATAAATTAATTAAACAATACAAACACGATTATCGTAACCGCCGCTTCTTGATCCAATTGATTGTGCAATAACACTAAGCGAAGCAGTGATCACATAAGTCCAAACAAATATAATACCAGCCATTAAAAACGGTATATCTTTTGCTTTAAAATGACGTAAAAAAGGTAATAATGATTCTTCAACTATTTGTAACTGTTGTATAGCAGCTGTAGCTAGAAAGCAACTAGGAGCTAAAAGTAATAATGCAAGAGAAACCGCTTTAGGGGAGAGTTTTGACATAATTTTTCTCCTTTTAATTCGGTATCCTCTAGTTCTATGTGATTGTTGCACTTTGAATATTTTTATTTTTGTAAGTATTTAAAAAAGAAGTTGGGGAAAAGATAAAAAAAATAATTTATAATAATTATGTAATTTCCGGGGGAAATAATCAATTTTAAATAATTTTATTGTATGAATGAATGAAAATAAAAAAAAATAAAAAAAAAAAAAAAACAAACAAAACAATTAACTTTGACCACAAGGATTTTTATATATTTTTTTTGTGAAATGTGATGCAGAAGTAACAAAAACGTACAATGCAGGTTCTTTGCAATTTTAGGGAAGAGTATTATTACAATTAAACATGAAATCATAATTTCCCGCTCTTTCTATTGAATTTTTTTTTTTTTTACATAACATAATGAATTATTTGCTAATACTGTATATACTTAAATTATCTTAATTGTTTAATTATTTCACCAAATTGATCTGGTGAAGCATGCAAGCAGGTTTCTTATTATTTTTGTTCAGGTTTCCTTTATAATTTAAAACTATTATTATAAATAGTAATAATTTTTAGCAGATCGTAATGAATATTTTCAATATATTTTTTTTTTTCATTAACTTTTTTTTTTTACTGTGCTTCCGTAATTAATAATACGTTTATATTTCATGAACAATTATATCAATTATATCAATTATATACGCGAGGAAAATTTCTAAGCATTTTTCTATTGAAGTTCTGTTTTTTTTTTTTAGGTATTTTTTATATTTGCTACGTAGAAATAAATTATTACTATTTACTGCTTATTAATATAGGTTTCATTTTTTTCAAAAAAAATAAAATAAATGATTTCATTATATACTCTTTCGCGTTGTATGAATTTTCTTTGAATATTAAATAATATTTTTTCAAAAGATTAAGCATTGCTAATAAATTATAAATTTCATTTTTTTATATGATATATATATATTGACTTTTTAATCTTATGGTAAACAATGCCATTTGCAATAATTTATAATAAAACAGGTGAATTTTATACAATCGTTAATAAAAAAATTTTTTAAATGAACTTACCAAATTTGATCAATATCGCCTAACTAAAAGTATATAAACTTTTATCTTGATTATTAATAACGATTGAAATAGTCGATAATAATTATAATAACGATAAAGAAACAACCAATTTTTAATACATTATATCTTTTTTCTGAGGTATTCGTCAACGAACTAAACGTTTCACAACAAGTAAAATAAACCGATCCGATTATTGATGTGCTGCTCGGTTTGACTTTTTATTAAAAATTTAATTAGTTATAATTCTATTCAATCAAAATAAATAAATAATAATAATAATAATAAATAATAATAATAATAATAATGATAATTTTTACTTTGTGATATAGTCTTGACACTCTTCGATCCATTTGTTCCATTTAATCCATTTGGTTCATTTAATTCACTTGATCCACTTGATCTTACAGTCGAAAGTGAAATTTGTGATCGACTATTTATATTATCAGAGATTTCGGTTGTTTCATTATTCGAATAGAAATTATCAAAATTAGGGGCCACGGTTAACGCTGAAGTCGGAATTTGTTGAGGTGTGAATCCAATTTTAAAAAAATCATGATTAAAAATTTCATTTATGGTTGGTCGTTGATCTTAAAATTTAAAGAGAAACAAATTAATTTAATTAAAAAAAATAATTCACTCATATATAAAACACATATATACAATATATATTACTTGGATTCCTATTTAGTATAGATTGGATCAACGCCTTAGCTTCTTTCGATACATGATTATTTACGGATGTTGGAAATCCGAAATGTCCTCCCCTAATTGATCGAAATATTTGAGAATGTCTATTTTTGTGGAAGGGAGGAATTCCGTACAACATAATATACCTATTATTAAATAAATAAATATTATTATTAATTATAATTATTTAAAGAATTTAATAATAAAATTAAATAAAATATTTACTTACATTATCACACCTATACTCCAAAGGTCGACTTCGAAACTGTGCCCAATTCTACCAATAATTTCAGGTGCCATGTAATCTAATGTGCCGCACATCGAACTATAATTATAAATTATTATTATTATTTATTATTATTTTAAGTCATAATTAATATATATATATATATATTAAAATGTGGGGATAAAAGTTTACTTCTTTTTATCACCCATCAAATTCAATTTTGCCGTAAGGCCAAAATCACCAATTTTTACTCGCATATCGGCAGATAAAAACAAATTGGCTAATTTTAGGTCCCGATGAATCATCATATTCTGGTGCATATAATTACATGCATCTAAAATCTGTAGCATATAATAACGCACTTCAGCTTCGGTCAGAAATCGTCTTGTTATCATCATATCAGCTAAAGTCTATATTTAATATTTATTTAATATAATTATATTAATATATATAATATAAATAATAAATAATAAATAATAAGAAATAATAATAATAAGAAAATAAAGATATATTATTACTTTGTTTTCGCACAGTTCCATGACTATATATACAAGATTGATGTCTTCAAAATAATCATAAAAACTCACAATATTAGGGTGATTCATGGCCTTATGAATTTTTATTTCGTTTGTAATCTATTAAAAAATAAAAATAATAATAATAAACCAACTTTTTACATTTTATGAAAAATTTCATGACTTTACATACTTTAAAAATTCTTACCCGTTCTTTGGTACTCTCCTTACCACGTAATTTCAATTTAGATAAAACCTTTATAGCGAAAATCTGACCATTTCCTTTTTTTGCCTCATAACATTTTCCAAAACCTCCCTAATAAAATTTAAAAAAAAAATTCATATTTCTTTAACCAAAAAAAAAAAAAAAAAGGAAAGTATTTAAACATACTTCTCCGAGGACTCTAAGTAACTTGTATTCTTCGTTTACTCTGTTGTAAGGTGTAATAATGCTGGGAGGATTAATACGTTCCATGACTTTAAATTAAAGAGAATTTTAAAGGAAGAGATATAAAAAAATTGGTCTTTTCATATTGAAAAATATATTGAAATATACACGCATTTTTTTGATAATATATTTTCAATTGTGTATTAATTATATATTAATTAATTATATATTAATTGTATATTTTAGTATACATCTCTAGTGAAAACCAAAGCATAAAATACATTCACATACTCACAACTACATATTAACCTTTGTTTAAATACTATCGACTTTCACTCGATGATTCTCGATGATCTACAAATAACATTATTATGATAAATAAAATAATAAATAATATTATATAATATATATCAACATCTAACATCTTACATCTACTGCGCCTTTCTTTTATCGGACAAGTAATATTGAAGCTAAAACAAAGAACAAGATAAAGAAAAATATCGACAAAACGTAATAGGTTCGATAAGTTTCCACGTATAGTTTTGAATATATCTTACTAGAAATTCTAGAAATTCTGTCAAAAGCCAAGAGCCAAAAGCCGTATTTAGATTATTTATATTATTTTGTATCCTTTCTAAATCTCTCCTTATATCCTTATATAATTTTTAGGAATTATTGTATATTAGAATTACTGTATGCCAGAATTATTAGGAAAATTGTAATTGATATTGTTTAAAACATACCATTGATAATCTATGAACGTAAGTTTTTACTCTTCACGTCAGTACTTTCAACATCGTCAACATCGTCAACAATTGTCAACATTGTCAACATTGTCAGCATTTCCGAAGAGGTAAAATTTCACCATTATGAAAAAAAAAAGGAAAATTAAACAAATAAAGTACAAAGCAATTTAACTTTATCACATGTAGAAATAATTTGAATTTTTATATTTTTTTAATATTTATTTTTTTACAAAAAAAAAAAAAATTTTATTCAGAGGAAATTTGGTAAACATATAACAAACACTTTAATAATGTCAGATAATCAAAATAATGAAATATTAGAAGAAATAATAGACGAAGAGGAAGAGAAGGGTGAAATGTAAAAGTGTATTTCGACTAAAATATCTTAAAATATCTAAAAAATCGAAATTTCGATAACAAATATCTATAGTATTACGTGAGACTATTTTTGAGATAAAAAGAAGATATATCCTTTTTGAGAATTCTAAACGTAAATTCCTTAAAGAGGTCAATGTTTTGGAGAAGTTATACCAAAACGTGATTATCTTCTTGATTGGACAAAGGTCTAAAATATAATTATTATTAATTATTATTAATTATTAGTATGGGAAGATGATGTTTTGTTATAAATTTTATTGCTTCATCTTTGAATATCAAGGAAATGAATTTTACATTAGACTAAGATAATAGATCGATCTTACTGTTGATCTGGATTTAATAATAATTATAATAAGCATTAACTGGTAAGAATATATTATTTGAATTACTCTAACTACTCTCGAGTTTGGTAAAAACATGAACTTCTGCAGAAATTTCTTTAACAACATTTTTATAAATTACCATTACATCCTTTATGAACTATTGGAATAAGTCCATTGTTTATCAAATGAGCTTCTAATGTTTTCAAAATAAGTTTCTATCATATTGAAATAGTTTTTTTTTTGATACAAAAGAATCGCTGTACCGAATGGTAATTCCTATATTAAAAATCGGAATTCCTATATCATAGACCAGTTAAAAATCGACCGTCCTATCGCATCCTATATTATAAATCAGCTAAAATCGGAATTCCTTTTCAGTACGCCTATTCTTTTGTGTTTGACCTGTGTGTATTATGATCCCAATGATAGAAGATTCTTTTATTAGATATGGCTTTTCTTTTTAAGGCATCCACTAGTGCTTTATTCATTATTTTCAGTTGGCCCATCAAAAAATATAGTTTGTTCAAGACTTGGAAAGAGCTTAAAGAATTTACATAAGCAATTGCAATTACAAACTTTAGAAAATCAATTGCTTTTCATATTCAAATTATTACTTTTATACTTCTTTTTTATTTACTTTTTATTGGAATTATTGCAATAAAGTAAATTCAGCCCATGCAAATACTCTAAATTATTATGTATTTTACCATGTGAGTTAAATTTTAAATCAGGAATTTTTATTAATTTTAAATTGGCAAAATGGTTTGTTGATCGTGGTTACATAAATATTAAAATCTAAAATTTTAATCAATCACTCATCTTTTATTCATAACAATGCCAGTAAGTACATTAAAGTTAAAGTGAGATTTTGGAGAATTATATTTACAAAATCTTATAATCTTATATATAATATTTGTATATTTCGTATATATATATTTCGATAGAACTGGATCAACATTATAATTTCTACAGTATTCACGATTTTTGGTTGGATACTTTGTGTAATTTCTTCACTTTTGAAGGTATATATATTTATATATATATTTCAGAAACTAATTAATCAAGAGAGATACTTATTTAAAGTCGGAATTAATTTTTTAAAAAAAAAGAAACTTAGACATAAAAGGACACCTGAAGAAATAATACGATATAAATTATCTGTAGCAAAAAATTATGAAGAATGGACTAAATTAGCAAAGGAATTAGATGTGTATGTAATAATAATTTAAAATTTTTCTAGTTATTTTATTCAGATATTTTAATTTTTAGTTTTTTTTTTCGAAATTATTACATTCAAGCCTTTTAGGTAATGTTATAATGATTGTTATTAATAAAAAGAAAAAAATAAAAAATAAATCTTTATAAGAAAAAAAAATAAATCTTTATAAAATAGGTAATGATGAATGGAAATCGAATCCTATCTCTCCTTATTATGATTATAACTTGATTCAATATAAGTTAGATAATTTTAGACAAGTTAGAGAAAACAATGATGTTCTTTCCATGATTTATATGTTGAGATCAGGTTGTTATAATTTTCTTATTCATTATTCTATTTCCCTTGCTTTTTATGATCATAATATCAAATATTAATAATTTGTTTATTATTTAAAGGTCTTTTGCGTAATCTTGGGGGTTTAAATGATCCTAGATTATTCAGTCAATCTTATTTGGGGTATTTTGATCTTTTGTTATAAGAATATATTATAAACATAATTTAAACATAATTTAAACATAATTTATTCATAATAACAATAATAATATTTAATAGGACAAAAAAGTTGATTGAAGATTATACACAAGAAGTTATAACTCAACTGGAATATATTGGCGAACAAGATTTTTCCGAAATTCCTAAACTTTCCAAAATGGAATTCTTTAATGATACTCGCCAAAGTTTTGGTAATTCTGCTTTGGTACTTTATGGAGGGACTTCTTTTGGTAAAGATTTATTCATATTTTATGATTTATATTTATATTTCTATTTCTATTTCTATTTATAATTGTATTTATAATTTTATTTTTATATTTACAAATTTAGGGTTATATCATCTTGGAGTTGTGAAAGCACTTAATCAAAATGGATTATTACCAAGAATTATTAGTGGAACAGCCATTGGTGCTCTAATAGCTGCTTTAGTGTGCATTAGAACTGATGAAGAGTTACCGGTAAATTATTTTCATCAAATATTATTAATATAATATATAAATATAATTCTAATTCTAATATAATATATTCATGTAATATCTAATATAATATATTCATGTAATATCTAATATAATATATTCATGTAATATCTAATATAATATATAATCATTAGCGCATTTTTGAACCTGGTGGTATCAATTTAGGTGCTTTCGGCAAAGTAGGAAGTGAAGGCAATATTCGTAGAAAAATTAGTCGTTTTTTAAAACATGGTAATTATATTAATTATATTTTATTATATTTTATTATGTAATTTAAAAATTTAAATTGATGAAATTTTATATATTAAATTAAATCTTTTATTTTAAAGGTTACTTGATGGACATTAAAGTTTTAGAAGAATGTGTTCTAAGTAATGTTGGTGATTTAACTTTTGAAGTGAGTATAATTAAAGATATTATATATATATATATTTATTTATTTATTTATTGAATCTTATTTTGTTGATTTTAAGATATCATTTTTCTCATTCCAAATACTTAGGAAGCTTATGCGAAAACGAAAAGAATTCTTAACATCACTGTTTCGCCTACCAGAAAATTTGAAATTCCACAATTACTTAATTATCTTACTGCTCCAAATGTTGTAAGTAATCCATCTTTTTGTGGTAAATTCCGGTGGAAATTTTTTTTTGGTTTTTAGCTAATTCAAGAATCAACCAATTAATTAATTAAAAGTTAATATCAAGTGCCGCATGTGCCTCGGTTGCTATTATGGGTCTTTATGATAGTTATGATCTGATGGCAAAAGACAAGACTGGAAAAATTGTTCCTTGGGCACCATCGGGTATGTATAATAACTTTAATAATCTTTTTGATTATTTCTGATTATTCCTAATCATTTCTGGTTATCTCTATAATTCCCGAAATAAATAGAAATAAAATGGAAAAAATGGACTGATGCGGTTCCCACTGAAAGGTACTTATTAATAATAATAATGATAATATTTTATTTCACTTTTTAATTATTATTTTTTTTTTGTTTCACACACACACACACATATATATATAGCGAGTCTCCATTAACAAGAATTACCGAATTATTCAATGTAAATCATTTTATTGTGTCACAAGCGAATGCTGCTGTTGTTCCATTCTTATCTAGAGAGCAAACAACGAGAGCGTCGATTTTGGTTAAATGTGGACACTTTATTTCAACTGAATATCGACATAGAATAGCACAGGTGAATATTTTTATATATTTTTATCTTGGGAATTTTTTGAAAAGTTTACAACCATTTTGAATTATCCATTTTAATTAAATTAATTAATTGAAAGCTTGAACAAATGCGACTTCTTCCAAGAATGTTCCGTGGGATGGTTGATGAAAAAGTATCTGGAAATGTTACAATTGTGTTATCTATCTCTTTTGCTGTAAGAAAATATATTCTATTCTTGTTTACTTTTGTGTTGATACAGAAATACATATCTTAATTATATTCTTATTTTATTTATAATAATAATAATAATAATAATAATAATAATAGGATTTTAAAACACTTTTCTCTAATCCAACTCATTCCTCTTTGGATTATTGGGTTTTGAAAGGTGAACAATCTACGTGGCCTTTATTGGCATTAATACGAAATCGATGTCTAATTGAATTGGCACTTGATAGAAGTAAGTTTCAAACGCATATATCTTCTCATATATATATATATATGTATATATATATATATACGTATACTTTAATTATTTACATTAATATTTTTTAAAGTTTATTTGAAGTTGAAATCGTCGCCTCCAGCTGAACGAAGTTATCCTTTATATCCCACAGCTAAAGATAAAAACAATGGAAGAAAGCGTACCAAATCTGTTCATTGATAATAAAGTTAAACAAAGTTGTTATAAAATATGTAATTTTTATGAGTAAATACGTATATTATTATACGTTTATTAATACTCTTATTAGATTTTTTTTTAAAAAAAAATTTAAATGTATTAATTGATCTTTCGAGATCATTTAAATTTTTTAAATTTTAAAAATGTAATTTATACCTTTGAGTAATTATAGATAAATCAATTTATTCCCAAACATTTTTACTTTTTTTCCTTTTTAATAATTTATCTACACTTTTTGAAACTTTGATTTCTTTCTTTTCGTTATTCATAAGAGCTCTCATTCGACTTTTCTTTTGTCGTTTTTTTGCGTTAGTAGTAAGTGAATTTGGATTCTTTTTTTTGATTCGACGTAATAAATTGTCGGTACTTTGATTTATAGTGGGACCTATTTAATAATTAAATTTAAAAAAGTTAATTTATAAATTAATAATATTGTTATATTAAATTATTAAATTTTCAATTATTATTATCATTATATAAATTAATTACCTGAATTAAGAGGAGAATCTATTAACATATCTGACCTTTTACGACCCATCTTTCTTTATCGATACTGTTTTCTCTATAATAGGAACTTGGTTATAGTAAAAATAGTGTTAAAAAAAAATCGGCTAATATTTTAAAATTGACTTTACGTACAACAAAACACTGTCACTGATTAGATAAAAAAATTGATTGTCACATCACATTCCACGTTTTGGTTGTATAACTTTTTCGTTTATTATATATTATAATTTTGGGTATATATATATTATAAAATATAAATACAAATAAATTTAAATATAAATATAACTATTTAATTAAAGATTAATCTGACAAAATATCTAAAATGAATAAGAATAATATGCCTCCATCTCAAAATCCCGTTAAAAACATTAATGATATTTTAAATTATGTAAATAACTTGCAAGATCTTAGTTTCAAAAACCAAAATCATGAATTGATTCTTATCAACTCACACTTAGTCTTGACTCACTACTTTTATCAGCTCGCAAAAATCGTAAAAATAAAATTAATCAGATTTCTAGACCACAAAATTCTTGGGTCTTATTTAGAAAAGATTATGAAGCAAATAAACGAAATCAATTTCCTGATACATTATTTAAGATGAAGACAGTCTCTATCAATGCTGGCGATGTATGGAAAAACCAATCATCTCAAGTCAAGAGATATTTTGAAATTCTTTTGAAATTAGCTCTCGCAAAACATAAAATTATGTATCCAGATTATAAATATACTCCCAAAAGAAGATATAAGTAATAAAGGTTGGGTTTTTCATAAAACTTTGGTTCTAGGCGAAGACAATCAAAATCAAAATTAATCAAGATGATCTTCTGTTATTTTATTTTTTGGTGGTTAGCGATTTTATTATTTATTATTCATTATTATTACCTATTTATATTATTTATATTATTTATTCGTCATTTGTTATTTTTTTTATCACTCATTATCATTTCTTTATTTTTACTTTGTCTTTTCATTCTTTATTCATCATCTTATCATCGTTTACATTTACAACTTTTCTAATAACGTATGATAAGAACTTAAAGAATAAATTTAAGAAACAATAGAAAATAAAAATAAAAACGTTTAAAAACTTTAAATTATAACAGATGGATTATATACGTACATTGTATATGAAATTCGAGATAATTTTTTTGAAAATTTGTACAGTTAAATTGCCGACACGTACTTAAGTTTCAAATGTAAATTTATGTCCATTAATTTTTACGGAATATTTTATGTAATTTTATGTATACCAGTCTAAAGACCTACACAATCCGCCGCTCAAGAAACAAATAAATTTATTGGCCAAACTTGTTAACGGTGATGAAAAATAGAGTACGGATAATAATTTCGTAATGTGCTCTCTGCACTCACTTGTAAAATGTTTAAATTTTTTATGGGGAGAGTTATTTTTATAATAAAAATTAGAGATCTTTTGATTAACAACGAAAATCCCAAATGTGTAGCTCTCGTATCTTAAGTGAAGGTTCACACTTTTAACAAGAGTTGGAACGTTTGACGGATTTGATGATGAAAAGCGGGTCAACAGGCTTGCATCAAAAAAGATGCCATCAACAATATTAACGTTAAAGCAAAAAACGATTATTAAATGAAGTCCATTAAAAGGAGAGTTTACTAGAATTGCTTGAACGGAACCTCCTTAACGTGCAAAAATTGTAAGAATACTCGAAAGAAAGATGTAATGCATCCATCTAAATGTGAACTTGAAATCGTCACCGTTCGTGATAATATTAAATCGAGAACTAATATCCTAAACCACGTTATGGATGAAAAAGCGATGGTTAAAAGAGCTACACCCATTGTTGACATAACAACGTTTTAATGATAGCTTGGAAGTAATTAGGGATTCCTAGTTTTAATTAGAGAGTCAATTTTTAGATTATACATATCAGTATAAATGCTAATATTCATCTAAATCAAACGTTACGTTACATATTTTGTATCTATGTCAAAGATCTGAGAATAATAATAAAAATCAAGATATAAAAGATAATCAACTTTTTTTAAATGATGATCAAAAACCCCTTTTTCCTTCGCTTTCGTTATATTTCAATAATAAAATGGTATTTCTTTAAATCCATATATTATATATAATTGACTTGATTTTTCTACAATATATTCATTCTTTTTTTGAATAGTAAATTTCATCGTAAATTTTTATAATAATAATAATTTTAATATTGTTATAGGCTGGAGCATTAGAAAATGCAGATAAGTACTTGCCCAAAATTAAAGATTCAGAAAAGGAGAGTGAGTTTGGTTATGTCTTTGCTGTGTCTGGACCAGGTATGAAATATTTCGAAATATTTGAATATGTATTTATAATTTACTAAATTCTATAGAAGAATGATAATATTCAAGAATTATTTTTTTTTTTTTAAAAAAAAAAAATATCATAATAGTCGTGATAGCCGGACAAATGATCGGTTCGGCTATGTATGAATTGGTGAATATCTAATCTATTATTTCGATATTTCGATATTTATCGATATTAGTATCAGATTTAGATCAATAATTTTTTGTAATTTTTTTTTATAATAGGTTCGTGTTGGACATGAGGAACTTGTAGGCGAAGTAATTCGTATAGATGGAGATAAAGCAACTATTCAAGTTTATGAAGAAACTGGTATATATAAATCAATTTTTTTTCATATATATCTTAGAATGAGGAGATTTCGAGACATCCTGAAATATTTTCCAAGATTTCTTGAGAATTTCTTTGACATTTCCTGGACAGGATTATTGATGATTTATTAATAATAAAATCACCCTTTCTTTCATAATCCAATAGCTGGGTTAACAATAGGTGATCCAGTATTGAAAACAGGAAAGCCACTTTCTGTAGAATTGGGTCCAGGTATTTGTGATATCAAAATAATAATATTTTTTATTTCAATTAAAGTCAATAATAATATATGAAAATTATATAATTCAGGTCTGATGTCTAACATTTACGATGGAATTCAGCGACCACTCAAGGTAAATCATAAAATAAATATATACATATTTCGATTTAGAAGTGTCAATTATTATTGTAATTAAATTAAATTAAATCAAATGATTATTGATAAATTTATATTTTAGGCAATTCGGGAAATTTCAGATGGTATTTATATTCCTCGAGGAATATCAACACCCGCCCTAGATAAGAAAATACAATGGGATTTTGAGCCAATAAATTTTAAGGCAAATATTTCTTCTATTAATATCTTATTATATCCATTAATTTATGTATTTATATAATTACATTTCATTAATAGACCGGAGACCATATTACTGTGGGTGACATTTATGGAAAAGTTTATGAAAATTCTTTGGTGAGAAATCATGCGATTATGTTACCTCCAAAATCTTTAGGTACAATTACTTATATTGCAGAGAAAGGATCATACACTTTAGAGGTATGTAATTATAGAGAACGCTTTCCTCGTGATATCCTTATTTATGCACACTCACACACTATTTAAATATGTAATATTAGGATACTGTTCTTGAGACTGAATTTGAAGGACGAAAATCTAAATATACAATGATGCAATTGTGGCCTGTTCGATCACCACGACCAGTTAATGAAAAGTTATCTGGTAATTATCCCTTACTTACAGGTCAACGCGTTTTAGATGCACTTTTCCCGTAAGTTTTATTTTATTTTATTTTTTTATATTATTACATTTTATATTATTTTATTACATTTTATTACATTTTGTTATTATTTTAAAATAATAAAAAAAAATAATATTTTATAATAACTTTTTTTAAGATGTGTTCAAGGAGGTACTACGGCTATTCCTGGCGCTTTTGGTTGTGGAAAAACGGTAATTTCACAATCTTTATCAAAGTATTCCAACTCGGATATTATTGTTTATGTTGGATGGTAAATATTTTTTAAATTATTATTATTAAATAAGTTATTAAACCAATTCTATATTAATTTTATGTTTTGTAATATTTTTTTTTTTTTTTAGTGGAGAACGAGGAAATGAAATGGCTGAAGTATTAATGGATTTCCCTGAAGTAATATTTTATATTTATTTTATTCATTCATTTACAACTACTTTTGCATTTTATAGCATTTAATAACATTTAATATATCTATTTTATATATTCCTACATTTCGTTTAGTTAAGTATTAATGTCGATGGTCGTCAAGAATCCATAATGAAACGTACAACATTAGTGGCCAATACTTCAAATATGCCTGTGGCTGCTCGTGAAGCATCCATTTATACAGGTTCGTAATTTTTTTATTTATGTTATATTATATTATATTATATTATATATATTATATTTATTTATTTTATTTATTTTAGGAATTACACTATCTGAATATTTCCGTGATCAAGGAAAAAATGTTGCTATGATGGCAGATTCTACTTCTCGTTGGGCAGAAGCTCTACGTGAAATTTCTGGTCGATTGGCTGAAATGCCTGCAGGTGTGCTTTCTTTACTTTATTTTTTATTACGTGTATTATTTATTACTTATTTTTCGTGTTAATATTTCAGATAGTGGTTATCCTGCATATTTGGGTGCTCGTTTGGCATCTTTTTATGAACGTGCGGGTAAAGCAACTTGTCTGGGAAATCCAAAACGGGAAGGAAGTGTCACTGTAGTCGGAGCGTATCCTTATTATTATTAATTATTATTAGCATCATCAATATCATTATTCTAATGTTAACTTGGGAAAGTAAACTGTAATTTTCATATTATAATCTTTCATCATGATTATTATTTTATATTAGTGTTTCACCTCCAGGTGGTGATTTTTCTGATCCGGTCACATCAGCAACTCTTGGTATTGTTCAAGTATTCTGGGGTTTAGATAAGAAACTTGCTCAGCGTAAACATTTCCCATCTGTTAATTGGTCAATAAGTTTTTCAAAGTATCTTAAAGTATTAGAACCTTATTATGAATCTTCCGAACCGGAATTTACTACATTAAGAGATAAAACTAAGGAAATTCTTCAAAAAGAAGAAGATTTATCTGAAATTGTTCAACTTGTGGGTAAAAGTGCACTTGGAGAATCTGATAAGATCACTTTAGAAATTGCCAGAATCATAAAAGATGACTTTTTACAACAAAATGGGTACTCTGCCTATGATCGATTTTGCCCGTTTTATAAAGTAAGGATAACAATCTCTAATATCTCTTAAGACCATATTAATTCTTATATTTAATTATTTATATTTAAAATAATGATATTAATTATTATTTCAGACAACTTGGTTGCTTAAAAATATGATTGGATTTTATACAGCTGCCACACATGCAGTTGAAGTTACTAATAGTGAAATAACGTGGGCCAAAATTAGGGATCAAATGGGAGATCTAATATATAAACTTAGTTCTATGAAATTTGAAGTAATTATTATTATTCCTTATTTATTATTCTTTATTTATCAAGAAAGATATTTACTTAATAATTCATGATTTATTTATAGGATCCCGCTGAAAGTGAAGAAGTTCTTCGTGAAAATTATCAAAAACTTTATAATGAAATTCAAGAAAGATTCAGACAATTACTTGAATGATGAAATTGTATTTTTTTTTTTTTGCACCGAATGATTATATTTATATTTAAAAGAATTTATTAAATTTATTTTATTGAATTTATTTATTAAAATTTATTTATTTCCCATTTTTTATTTCTTCCCGCATTATTTTTTGTATGTGTATATCATTATTATATAATATGTAATTTTAGAATATAATAAACATCATCAATTTTAATCTACAACTGTAATTCCTTTACTTCTTAAATCTTCTTTGGCAAGTTGAATTTCCTACAATATATATATATATATAATGAAAATATATATAAATACAATTGATTTAATTAATAATAATATAATATTATTATCATCTTAGAAATAATAAATAAAAATAAACACAATACCGCCATCAATTCATGATAAGCATCTTCACAATCCCTAAATTTAAATACATTATATCCAACAGTTCCCAGTGAATATGCTCCAAACGTTACAAGCAGCCACCAAGGCAACTAATAATTAATAAAATATTTAATATATATATAGTAATATACAGAAATAATTAATAGTAATAGTAATGATAAACAACAACAACAATAATAATAATAGCTAATTTGATTATTACCACTGGTATAATTTCTTCTTGAAGAACGTCAGGTAAAGGAACCACTCCAAAAAGGAATATGAAATATATAATAAAAAATATTCCAAGAGCAGCAAAAGTTTCAATAGCTTTAGTCATTTTTTCTTTTTTTCTCGAAGCCAATAAAGACTTCAAGTATATATATATATATATATATATGGTCAGTGCCCATTATTAGAAATTGTTTATGTAGCACAATAGATCATCGGGCAAAGGAAAAACAACTAATAATCAAATATTACATTAAATTGAACTAGGAATTTTCTCTTTATATTCAAACAAACAAAAAAATTAAGTATGCATTTACAGAAATTTAATATAAACAAAAAATATAATTTACTTTATCTTATTTCATGTTGCCAAAAATAAAATTTTAAACAAGAACATATAATGTTTCTGAATTTCGGCTGGTGAATGTCTATTTTTTTTTTTGTTTATTTCAATAGTTCAATATAAATACATCGAGTATCTCTTTCACATCATCAAATAAACCAAAAATGCCCTTAACATATACTGCTTTCATAATAAATTTTCCGTCACCTTTAGCACTCTTCTTAAGTAACCCCCGAGACCAGCCTCGACGTTTGTACTCATAAGGGTAAGCGCGAAAATGACAACGAAAAGTACAAAGATATTCTTGGGTTCATTGTGTCGGTATAAGCATTTTTTTGTTACTGGATGATGTTCTTGATCAGACGTATACTCTAGGTTTAGATTAACGAGCTGGATTATGGTTTCTATAAAGAAGATATCAAGATTTGTGTCGTTAACTAGACTGAACGGGAAGTACATCAAGAAGTACCACTTTAATTAACTATACATACCTTTTTCAATTTTTGACGTTTTTGACGGAGACGAAAAATAGATGGGAAATTATGGGAAGGTTTTATACTTTCTGAAAAAGAAAGTTTCTGTTTCTTTTTCTTTGTGCTTCATTCCCACAGCTTTACGTCATGCAGGCATCTCTTTCTCAGGATTTCTTTTAAGATTGCAGCTCTATGCATATAAGTAGGCTGTTTCTTGTTATCAGAAATCATTCTATTGTTTGTTGAAAATTCTGAGTTTACTTTTTCAAGATTTTTCAATTTTTTCGCCAAGATTTTTTTCCCGGAATTTTGGACGCCAGAGTCCAAATCTTATATTTTTTTTTGCTTCCATCATGTTTCGCCAATCTGGTTTGATAGTCATTCTCTGACTCATAGAGGAAATGGATTCCGTTTACCCTTCCTGTATCCACCTTTGGTCCTCGTTATTTTTGGTATTTTCAAGGTTTCCATTAAGGGTTCATTTTCACATGTTCATTTGTTGTTGTTGTGTTTCACTGGATTTTTCTCTTGCTTGAATAATTACTATCGGTTGATTATTACTACCAGATGCTTCGACACTGACTTTTCTCTAAGTTAATATCACTACTTTTTTTCGATAGGATTGAATTTGTTTTTACTGATAATGCTAGTTTTAAGAGATGAAGTATGGTTAATACCCTGTCTTCTGGGCTGTGAACTTGAGCTTACGCTCATGTTAAAGTTGTAACAAACGAATACTAAATTACAATAAAATAAAAACTATTTTTGGTAGTATTTTTAACTGCAGAAAATCTCCTTATCAGTATCAATCTCTTCAATACTTTCCTTATTTTCGTTACCAATTCTAATTACTATCATCTAACTTAACTAATCTCTTATCCTCATGAATTCTAAGTTTGCATAGATATATACAAGTTTTTTAACATGGTAATTATGAATAAATCTACATTTAGCGGCAGCTGATGATGTGAAGTTTACTATTTGGCCATGATTGATTCCCAAATTATATGATTATCATATCATATGATTCATATGGTGAATTATTATTTCAAAATTGACAATTTACATATGATGTAAATTCATTATATCCTGCAACTTTCATATTAAAGTGTTCTACTTCCTTCCAAAATCGTGGATCAAGCTTACGATAAGCATATTTCCATCATTTGATCATTAAAATTACATGGAATTTCTTGAATTATTCTAACAATTTTTCTCAAAATTAGAGTAAATATATCTGATTCAAATAGCTTCAATGTAATAACTATTGTATCAGGAAATTTTATTAGGCGAAAATTTGTACAAGTTTTTTGTGCATTTTTTTCCATTTTTTTGACTTAGCTCGCGATTATAAGGGACAGAAAGAGTTTCTACTAAGGTATTTCTAATATAGATAGAATGGCCTTGCTCTTAGCTACAAAATAATATGTGTTTTATTCCTGCAGCATCGATATTTGTAGAGATCACACAGTTTAAAGAAAACCATTTGTGAAAAATCGTATGAAAATTGCCGTGAAAATCTCCGTGCAAATTTCCGCACGATTTTCACAAATGGTTTTCTTAAACCATGCGATCTCCGTAAATATCAATGCTACATGAATGAAAAACATACCATTTTTTATTTAAGATTAAGGCCGTTCTATCTATCTTAAAAACATCTTAGTAAAAAAATCTATCTGTGCCTCGAAAATCGTGAGCGAATTCGAAAAAATGGAAAAAAAACGCACATAAACTTGCGCAAATTTTTGCCCAATAAAACTTCCTAATTTTTCCAAAATCTTCTTCAAGAATTTGAGCTCTTAAATTATATGATCCACATTTTTAAATTCATCAATGTTTGTTCTATAACAATTCTTGATCTTTGTAATGATTAAAGTGTATTTCCCATCATGTAAGAATTTGTAAACTAGTGAAATTTCTTTGCCATAATTTTTATATTGAATATATTTAAATTTTGCCATTGATTGTGTATGAGATTTGAAATATTTGGTAATGTTTTTTGCAGATTTTACTTTATTAATTTTTATAATATCTTTGATAAAATTTATAATAGAAAATAACCAAAACAAATTATATTAGAATATTCATAACAATACATAAATCGGAAATAATTCATGATCGTTGATACATATAAAGCTTTTTATTTTAATGACTAAATGTCAAAAGTTGTACTAAGTAATTTTAAAGATAAGAATAAGTTACTTATTATATGAACAGAACAGATCTATATCACCAAAATTGAGAGAAAAATTAGTGGTTAAAGTTCGAACGGGCAAAAAATTTTTAAAATGTAATTATTTGCTCAATTTTAATGATATAAGTCTGTTCTTTTTATATGATATGCAAATTATTCTCGTATTTAGGTTACTTCAGTATTTACTTATAAAATAAAAAGTTTAATATGTGGAAATGATCGATGATTTTATATATAATATATTAATAATAATAACCAATTATTTTTATATATAATCCAATTGTATAAAATCATCGATCGGTACCACATATAAACTTTTATTTTATAAGTATAAGAATGAATTGCATATTATATAAAAAGAACAGACTTATATCATCAAAATTGAGGGAATATTTGTCATTTTAAATTTTTCGTCCGTTCGAACTTTAATCGCTAAAAATTCTCTCAATTTTGGTGTTATAGATCTGTTCTATTTATATAATATGTAATTAATTATTTTCTTTAAATTTACTTAGTACTGTTTTTAACATTTACTTATTAAAATATGAATATTTATATGTAGTAACGATCGATAATTATTTGATTGCAAGTATTTTCTAAAGTTACACCAAAGGACCAAATTGCGTAAGTGTATCTCATAACTTCAAAACTTGATTGGCACTATGACAATGGACCCTTTACTAATTGAAAAAACAATATATTTTATTATTATCATTTTTAAAAATTATTAAATTCTTTTTATTTTTTTCTTTTTGTTTTTTTATATATTTAATCTAAAAAATAATATCCACTATGCATTCTAATCATATAACTAGAATAAAAATTAAGCAAAAATTACTAATACTCTATTTTTAAGCAAATAAATTTATTATAATAAACCATAATTTTTTACCAAAAACACGTGATTTATTTGTTGCTTTTGTTATTAAATAAAATATTGTAGTTTGAGAAATTATGAAAATTACATAGAAATTCTGTGAATTCTGTGGAAATTATGTGGAAACTTTGTAGAATTATGTGTATAAATATATAAATAATTAAATTATGTGATGACAATATAAAACTTTGTATTTATTACAAAATTTTGTAACTTTTGTGATTTATTGTAAAACATCATAAATCATATTCCTGTTCCTAATAAATTTTAACTCTAATTTCTGGAGCAAAAATTTTACTGAATAAATGAGTAAATTGTTAATAGTCATCTAATCATCATTAATAATTAAATATATCAATAATCTAAAACATTAGTATACATATTTATCATGTAATCAAAAAATGTTAAATAATAGATAATAATAATAATGTCATTTAGCAAGTATTATTTTATTAGGAAAAGTTATGGTGAAACTAGAGAAGGTTGCAATAGTAAAGGTTAATGTAAAACAGTAGGTCATGGAGAAGAAATTAATAGTGAACTTTTCTTAAATATCTTTTAAAAAATTTTATTTGTAAAAAGATAAATACTTTATGATATAATTTATTTAAAATTTTTTTTTAAATAATTTAAAGTAATCATTGGATTCTATAGATATGAAAGTAATATAATATAATTATTTTTTTAATCAAATATTTTTTTATTTCCATTAAAAATTATATAGTAAATATATACAGTTATTTAATAATTATTTTTATTAACCAAATATTTATTATTGATTATTTTATTTAATTATTTCAATTTTCTTATATTTTCCAATATTCTGAATGAATTATTTTTTCCAATTTACTTAACATATTGTTACCACTGTGTAGAGTATTTCTAACAATTTCTCAAATCAGTTTCAAAGTTTGCATCACACAAACATAATAATATACTCTATCTGCCAGTAAATCACAGCTAATACAATTGATTTAACTGGCCTATTTCAAAACAGATAATAAATATATAATAAATAATAATAATAATCA